GTAGCCGCTTCATATTTGGATGTATGCAGGTAAGCTTTTAATTCCGAGATTGGCGCATACTACATATATCAACTTACTTTGTTTTTATTTCAGTTAGTTATGAAAATTCTTTTCCACGCTGAAATGTAGAAGTAAAATGAAACGTAATATTTTTAAAGTACCATTGTACAATCACTATACTACGCTTTTATTGGTAATGAGATCCAAAAATTATCCAATATATTCGGCATCGAATTTCTTTCCAAGTCCGTTGTCACTCGAGGGTGCAATTAACTAATCTTCTTCACTCAAAGATAATTTGCTATTTTTAGTATTGCAAAGGAAAAGATCACGAAATTTCTTATTATATTCACCACTTGGAAGTCCACAGGCAATATATTTCATAAAATGCTAGATCAGTTTAGGTAATGTTAGGATATGTGAATAAGGCAATGCAAAAAAGGCTATCTGCTCAAGGAAAGAAATTTGTTCGAGGAGGACATTCTAAGGGAAACTGACTCATAATCACTTTACACATGATGATGTCACAAAAAGCAAACATCAAATCCGTCGGTCTTGGAAGAAAACTTGATAGACATTTGCAATTTCGAAACTGAGATTTTCAGCTATAGTGTGTATGCAGTTAATTTGAATTTTATTTTTTGTCTTTTAGCAAATTTAGGAGGAACACAAGGGCACGTTTCGAGGATCACTAGTGGTCCGCGGACCACAAATGAACATTGATTGCGGCCTTAGATTAAATACCCTGTACGTTTCATAGACAGTGTCCAAAATTAACTTGCTTTCGTAACAGCAAACAGATCACATTAAGCAAGATAGTCCTGGTTTATTTTCTGTTCGGAACATAGATATCTAAATCATAACATAAAGCACGACATCAAAACATATACTAGAGATAGATGCATTGTATATTTCCTTGTGATTATGCTGTTATCATTGTGACTGTTTTAAAAATACTATAGGATCAAAAATCACCGTAAACTGCATAAGGCACCAAGTCGTTGCACCGTAAACTTGCAGGGCTGTCTTTTCGACAATTACATAAAACTCTCTTCTTTAGCTACAATAGTAAAAATGAGGAAAACGAATAGCATATACTCATGTAGTAACAATAGCGTTTTTATTTGTAATAGATACAATGTTTGCTTTCCAATGATTAGGCTGGTATTAACAATATGGGTTTTCTAATAACTGAACTTACAGTGGATGGACAAAAATATGGAAACACCTTGTGAAATGCATGTTTCAAAAGAAAGATTGATTTTAATGAAATATGTAGGTGGCGCTGGCGTTTTTGACTACTGACGCCACCTATACAACTTTGTAAATGTGCTAAACACTTCAGTTGTTGTCGGAGTACTGTTATGTGAGGTTGTCATTGCATTATGTCAGAGTTAACAGACTTCGAACGTGGGCAAATTGTTGGAGCACGTATGGTAGGTGCTTCGTAAGCAAGGTAGCCGAGGTGTTTAGTGTTTCAAGAGGTACTGTATCGAAGATTTATTCCGCATATTTGAAAAGCGGAAAAACATAATCTGCTAAATCACAGCGCGGACGAAAGTGTGTCCTGAGTAATCGTGACAGACGATCATTAAGGGCAATTGTGACGAAAAAATAAGAAGACCACAGCTGCAAAAGTTACTGCTGAAATGAATGTTGTGTTACCGAACCCTGCGAGTACCAAAAACAATTAGAAGGGAGCTTCATAAACAGGGAATTGCTGGCCGTGCTGCAATTGAGAAGCCCTCATCAGTGATGCTAATGCCCGTAACAGGAAAAGGTGGTGTTTAAGTCATAAAGCCTGGCTTAAAGAGCAGTGAAGCGAGTATATGGTCTGACGAGTCTTCTTTCACATTGTTTCCCACTTCTGGCCGAGTTTACGTCTGGGAGAACGCCATCTCAAGCCTATAATACAGACTGCTTGTTGCCAAGAGTGAAACATGGCGGGGGTTCTGTTATGGTTTGGGCAGCCATATCGTGGTTCTCTGCTAGCCCCATGATAACTGTGTCAGGGCACATGACTGCCAAGACTTATGTGAACATTTTGGCCGATCAAGTTCATCCCATGGTACAAACTTTGTTCCCCGATAGTGATGGTGTCTTCCAAGACGACAAAGCCCCTGTTCATACAGCTCACATTGTCCAGGACTGGTTTTCTGAGCACGAGAATGAGTTGTTCTATCTCCCCTGGCCACCACAGTCACCAGAACTGAATATTATCGAACCTTTGTGGTCTACATTGGAACGGAAAGTGCGTTCTCGTTATCCACCGCCAACATCGTTATCTGAACTTGCCACCATTTTGCAGGAAGAATGGTATAATATTCCCTTGGCAAACATACAGGAACTGTATTTAACCATTCCGAGAAGACTGCAAGCTGTTTTGGATGCCAAAGGGTTTCCTACACCATATTAAGCAAAGAAACATGTTTTTCTAAAGGTGTTTCCATATTTTTGTCCAACCCCTGTATCTTTATTCGCGTTTGGGATTTTCTTATAATTATATTTTGAAAACTTATCTTCATAAATCTCCTCGGTCTAATAAACAGAAGTAATTTTATTATGGCCCAGAAGCAAACGAATCTTAATGGTTTCTTCAATGAAATCTTTAAATCTCCTTATATAACTTTCTCAAACACCGGAATTAATGTATTGGGTTCTTAATGTAACAAACCTCGTTCAAAAGGCCGAATTCGATTAAGAAATTTTTTTTATTTCCTTGTACAAAGTAAAGGAAATACTGCTGTAATCGCGAAAAATTTCGGGTGTCATATTTCAACGAAAATATACATCGTGATCTCTCTCCAAACCATTTAAATGATTTTTTTGCATGACATCTGTACATATGGGCAGAATAAAATACTCTTTTCCGAAAGAGCTTGTAAAATGGATTCAGGAGAGATTTTTTCCCTGACGTCTGTACGTACATCGTATAACTCAAAAATAATTAGCCATAGCATGTTGAAATTCTGCATATCGGACTGCTATAACAACTAGTTGTGCACCTCTCGTTTTTGTTGAAATTGGTGAACAAAACGGATATATATATGTGTGTGTGTGTGTGTATGTGTGTGTGAGTGATTGAATTATGTTTCCCTCATGTTCCAGTTTACGTTTTATGAAAGCTGCATGTAATATTTGTAGACTTATCGACAATTTAAAAGTGTGACAATAGGCCTAACGTGGCGGTTATTTTTTACATTTGAAACTTATGGTGCTGTAGTGAATTAAGTCAGTAGTCGCACCAACTTTCGTATCTTCAAGCCCACTAGGACAAAAGTTAACTTTAAATTTCTGTGCACCGAAATTTTGTCTTTTTGACCATTGGATTGATTTTGCTGTTTCTTGTCTGCTTGTTTGTGCGGAAACTCTGACTTTAATTGGATTTTTTTTCTCTTTTTAAATGTGTGTGGTGATTTAGGTTTTTCTGTATTTCACAATTTTTAAGGAAGATGTTTTGAGTTTCTATATATTTTTGCCTTGCCGCGAAGTGAAATCTGGATTGATTGAATAGGAACTATATCTCTAATGAAATTCGAGGAAATAAATTTAAATGAAGAGCAGTAAAAAATAAGTATAATTTAATAGGGCAAGGAAGTCATGTGGTGTCCACATCAGACTTTTTTATTTATTAAAAAGTCATAGTTATCAAAGATATCTTTTGTTTTCTTGATACGTTGATTAAAAGTAGAGATATACCAGTTTTTCCGAGAGACAACAAACAGGCGATAGCTAACTGTCGCACCCAAAATTCGAAGTTTAAAGGTCTGGTTTTAACATTTTTCTAAATAATTTTAAGCATTTCAATATGTTGGATATAATATAAAATATTTTGCTGTAATTTCTTATTTCTGTTTGGCAACAATGTATTGAACATAAAGTTTTGTTTACATCCATCTTTTGACCTTTCTGTTTTGTGTACTGCTTGACTATTTTTTTTTTATTTATTTTTTTTTATTATTTATTTATAATTTATGTTTGTAGAAATTATAACTCTACAGTTAATCATTGAATAACTTGAAATTCTACTTACAAATTTTGTACAATATTATACCTGTTGTGATACAGAAGTTAAAAAATTAACCCCATATGATTTTAATTACAAATTTTTTCCTTCAGTAAGTAACTTGTGTATTTCAAATTATGAGTGCTTACTAACATATTTGGTCATATGTTACTAGTGCATGAACATTTTCTAATTATTCTACGTCCCTGTATGCATATGATTAATACACAAGTGTGAATTCAAACACAGTTTCTTATCATCAATATTTTTGGCAGTATATATCTGAAGTTTTTATTAATTATAATCTAAAATTTTCAGTTTTATGCATACATTTCTGAAAATAATGAATTTCTGCTCCCTTTATTAATGATTACGTCTGCGTACTATCTATCAGAAAATGATATAAATTAAGAAATTTTAAAAACATTTTCAAAAGCACCCTTTGAGAACGAGGTCGGTTACAAGAAGAAATGTCACTAAAATTTTAGAAAGGTATTAAGAAGTCTTTATTTACTTCTAACATTTTTAATAGGAAGTCTGTTTGTAATATACAACCTAGAAGATTCTCTCAAAAAGGATTTCAAAGTGTTCTACAAACATATCATTTTCTTAATTCATACTAAAGAAACACAACTTGAAATTTTTAAACTCCACTAAGAAACGCTCACTCTCTTTTATCAGTTCAAACCGTTAGTCTTTTAAAATGACATCATGTAAGCATAAAAATACAGTCAATGCGACCATGTATGCTTCATCCAATATGCGATTTAAACTACTCCAAATAATTTGAAGTGAAATATCACCGAGAAGTGAGCATTAAAGCGATAGGAAAAGGAGTTGAAAAATGAAGAGAACTTCAAACTGAAAATAAGCTTCTTAAGTAAGTCTTCACCTAACTCATAAGGCTCCAGAAGAAAGTTTTTAAAATGAAATTTTTTCATCTCTCTCCGCTGTGACACTTGTGACCAAAAAAAGCAATAGTATTTCCACTTACGGCTCCCAAGAAATTCCCATATTTAATGAGGAGTTGAGTAACTTTGGATGACATCGCGGCGACAGTCACTTCTGCTGCCAAATCGTTGCTTTTATGGTTGCCTTTTTTCAGTCTTGGCGGTGGAAACAGATTGGGTGCCATAATCATTGCCACATTGCCCAAAGACATACGGTTGGCTTCTTCTTCTTCAACGACTTTTGCTAAGAAATACAAAATTTCCTGAAAAATAAAAAATAAAGTGAATGTCTAGCACGAATAAATCGTTACATCTAACTATAAAGTTAATTTAGCTATAAAACATAATGCATTTACATTTTAACGGCTGAAAACTTCATGCATAAATGTTGGTTTCCCAAAACCCTAGTGATGAATTACGTATGTATTGACCAGAATCTTTACCTCTAACAAAAAATGTTAAATAACCAAAATTTCATATATTACTTAAATTACAGAGTATTCTTACGATAATACAATCTATGAAAAGTTAAATATCATTGAAAAGTCAGAAAATAAAAGGACAATTTCCTTAAACTATAATTTATTACCCTGCAAACCAACCTATAGAGCAGAGGTGGCCAAACTTCATTACAGCAAGAATCGCATAATAGGATTCAGGAAATTTCAAGAGCCATAACTATATATTTTCTAAAGGCTGCAATTTCGTATTTATATCTTTAATAATAAATTTTCATAAAATGAAATGTTTGATGTAAATCAATGTGAATTCCGGATTTTCAGGATTTTTCTTCTTTCCTATGAGGGGAGTTATTGTTGTAATTACTGTGGTTATATAAAACTAACAACTTTCATATTTCTCCAACTCTATATTAAGAACATTTGCACCTAATATTGCAAGATGCACCTGAATATTTGTCTCTAAGACAGAAATCAAACATTTTTTCTGGTTTCTATTCCCCCTATTTAAGTTGTTGAGTGATTTTAGCAGAAATAAACTAACATCGAAAAAAGAAGTCATAAGTATTTTTAAAGAATACAAAAATATAAGAGAACATTCCATTTGAGTGAAGAATAAAGGATTAATTCGAGAAATAGATTCAGTGATTTTCTCAACTTTTGAATTCATACATTGCCTTCTGGAAGCAATAAACTGCGTGAAAAGGGATAGCATACGCTGCGAAGAAATCACTATTCGAGAGAGGTTTGTTTGTTTGCTTTTTTGTTTACCTGAATTTGGAAAAACACATGAAGACAATCTGCGTAATGGGAGGTGAGAGATACCTTCACGGAGTAATTTCTGTTGGAAATCGTCGCATATATACGCTATTCAAAGCGTATATATATTAAGCAAATTATTTTTAAATAACTAGCCAACTTTTCGGGATTTTGCACATAAAATAATTTAGTTTTTCCTATACAGTTAACCGAAATACTGAGATCAACCTTTAATTTGAAGAAATATCTACATAAATTGGCAGGTATACATTTAGCAATTTCTAAATTGTATCGTATATTCGATATTATGATTGATGTGACAGATATTCGACAATATGATATATTACTAGATATTATGTTATGGATCTTGCTGCTGATGGAACTAAGTTCGAATCTAATGTAAGGCATGGGTGTTTGTATCGGCAGAAGTATCTATGCGAAGATTAAAAAAAAATTAAAAAATTTGTAGATTACGTCCTCTCAAGAAACTGGTGAAAAAAGAAGAGGAAATAGTAAATGACTATCCTCGGGTGAAAGAAACGCTACACAAAAGGCGAGGGGCTTATGACGTACCGAAAATGCCACCATGTTGAATCAGTTGTTTCAAAATGGCGACGCACACACCATGTGGTTGACAACGCCGATGATGTCACAAGCCATGCTCCTTTCGTGTGACGTAACTTCTGTTGACAGAGGAGGTGCCTGCTCCTAGAGGTACAAAAGGACATTGTCCTCCTAATTATAATTTCTAGAAAACCTTCATTTCATTCAAACACTGAAGGGGCATTATATTATGACCACTGATTAATATGAAGTAGGACTACCTCTCGACATCAAAACCGGCAACATCTGCCGAGGCATTGGCTCGACAAGGTGCTGATAGATAATCTAAAGTATCTGGTACCAGACCAGACATTCACCAACTAGTCGAGAAGTTCCAGCCCATTCAGAGATGGCAAAAGGGGACCACGAATTTGGTTGTCGAGATAGAACCACAAATATTCGAATGGGTTCACATCAGGAGAATTCACAGGGCAAGATATGACTTGATATTCACCAAAATGTTCCTTGAACCACTCCTTCACGATTCGGCCTTTATGCATATTATCTCGCTGATTAATGCCATCACCCGCCGGGTACACTGTTTTTATGAAGAGGTGCGCCTAGCCTGCAGTGATGCGCACAGACATCAAAGATTTTTCTATGGAAAAGATAGGTCCAAAATGTGCCCCATGAAGACATCGCTTACACCAAAATACCCCCGTCACCGCCAGCAGAGTTTCCGTTGAAAAGCAGCATATTCACACTCGCTCTTCTATGTGATTGCTCAGAAAACGCGAATTGTTGGATGAGGAGACTTTTTTCCCATTTTTCTATGGTCCAATGCCCATGTTTCTTGACCCATGGCAGGCGCTATTGGCGATGGCGTACGGTCATCACAGGAACATCATGATTCGGATGCCGATTGCGTAGGCTCATACGCAGCAGTGAGCGCTGCTCTCTCTGCTGAGACACACCGTCTGGGTCGTCATTGTGGTAGCTGTTGGAGATTTCAGACATTGTAGTCCTTTGATCATGGCAAACGATGCGAAACAGCCTCCGCTCTCCCCTGGAATCAACGCGCTGTGACTTACAAACCGATGGTCGACGACTTGTTGTTTCACAATTCCTACACCACTTTCGATAACCACTCATAACCGCTGCACCTGAACAGCCCACTAAATGCATCATTTCTGAAATCGATGTTTCCAGACACCCAGCCATAATGATTATACATGTACAGAAATCTGATAAATCAGCTGCTTTTCTCATTACGTCGCTAAACATTCTACATGTGAAAAAACAGTGCATGCAAGCTTTATATACTCCAGCATCAGCCACGCGTGTACCGTGTTTTTGTCCCCAGTCAAGTTCATGGTTCTAGGTGAGGGATGGTCATAATACAATGGATCTTCGGTGTATATGTCTGAGAAAAACCATAGCAATTACAGAAGCAATCTCTTTTAAACACATAATTACAAATAGAGTTGTTCTTATTTGGAATACGCAGTGTCAATTGCTAATAGATTAAGGCTAAGCATAGAAGAGGATATTTGCCTTATTTCTTCGTGAAAGACTTTTAAATGAAACTGGCTCATATTCATAAACGATGATAGTTATGCAATACCCATACTACTAGACCATTCCTCTCAATTAGAATCCAGGACGAACTATCTTTATCCATCGGTCTCATCCGATCGATCGTTAATGAGCTGGAGCAAAGAATACACAGCAGCAACAATAAGTTCATTCAACAGCAAATTTTTCGAGTTTTAAATATAAAAGTGGTTTGAAACTTTTCTTTTGAAGATTTTTAATAGGCTTTATTTTATATGTCTACAACCTTCTACAGAAGCTTACTTTCTGTACAGGCTGCTTGAAATACAGGTACATGAATATTAATACACTACTTAAGTTAAACATAATAAACATTCACAAAAAACTTTTACATTTTTCGCTTATCACCTCTAAGCCACGTTTGGAGTCGAAATTCAGTGCTGTTATAATAGAGAGTAAGATTTGAACAAGTTACAGAAAATGCTCCGGAGAATAAAACCTGAAGCTTTTCAGCATTAGATTTTGAAAATATTTAGAACGCATCACTACAGACGTAATCGGATTTAAGCGAGAATTACTTTCCCTCTGATACGAACAGCCTGTAGCGGATTATATTGTGTATTCCTTTCTGTAAACGAATTTTTATCTCTCATTTTATCGAAAATTTTGTTATCTTTAAGGAAGAAAAAAAAAACTTTTAATTCTCTTGCATTCAGCTCGAAGCATCGAGTATTCTGAAATAATCTGAACAGCAAGTAAACTGTTGTTGCAGACGTTGTACGATGTTTCTATGAAGACAAATTTGGATTCTATACATTATTGGGTATCGGACAGAAATATTATAAAAATATATACCATCTAAAACTTTTAAAGTATCTATTTCTTTTAGCGTAACTCTGTATTTTAGAGAGCATTGGGAGACTGTAAAATTTTTATAAGGCAAATTCATTATTGAATGTTTCGATGAAATTACACGTGCGCTTGTAATCAGGGCGAAAACTTGCTGCCAAGAAGTAGCTTTATGCAAAGTAGCATTATATAGAACAAAATAATCAAATAGGAAAACTAACATTATGTAGCACAAAATAATCAATAGGAAAACTAACAGAGTTAAAAGCGCAAATTATGGTTCCAAGAAAGGTTTTGCAGTTCAGGGTACAATTTCAGGATTTATCGAAATAAAACAAAATTTGCGGAGCCAAAGTTTCATTTAGAGGAATATTTTTAAATGGACAGTTATCTGCCGTTTTTAAATCAGGAAATAATATCCTGATTGTTGAAAAACAGGTGCTCTGTGCCCTTTGGAAGCAATTTTAAAAACTCTAAAACTGTTGTTACAAACCTGGTACAAAGCCACAGAAATAATATAGCTGTTCCTTGATATCGGTTTCTGTCTAACACTGCCCGTGGCAACAGGAAGTTGTCTGCTAGATAACTGAGCATAGAGATTGCACTGTCACTGTAACTTTTATGTAAGAGCAAATTGTACAGTTAATGAGAAAGAATTTCATGCAAGAAAACGAATAGTTTGTGTTTTATTAATCTCATATACAAAGCTATGCTGATCGAATACAGATAGCATTACATCTGTAATTTACAGTAATATGTATGTGTTCTCTTCTGCAACGAATTGAGGTACAGTTTAACATTTGGTTCTAATGTGTTTATATCTGTAAGAAACCATAGAAGTTAAATAGTCTTAACAATTTGAATAGCGTGACCTTTTGCAACGAGGCAGATGAATAGGTATGAGGACGAATAATGAACAGTAGACATCCATCAGTGACTTTGTTGACAAATCATCTTTATTTATTCATATATACCGAGAGAATATCTTAAAATCTTGTGTAAATTTTGTTAGAGGAGTTCCTACTTTCACATTAATGGATGATAACGTACGTCTATATCAATCAAACCTCGTTGAAGAATGTCTATTGAAACTGAAGACAATGAGTGAATTAGAAATTATTGCATGTTATACAAATTTGTTTTATAATATAATTTTGTTCAATTTAGCTCAATATTTGAGTCCGTTTCGTATTTAAACATTAGAGATATCTCAAAACAAAGATATTCCTTAGTTTCAAGAGTTTTTGAAAACAGATATTTGTAATCAATGCACACAAAAATAACTTTGGATAGCAGAACATATCAAAGTTGAAGTTTGATTTTGACCTACCTGTAGAAGTTCCCTGTGAGAGTCGGGCAGAGCTAGCATTAACAGATTCAAAGTATTCATTTGATCTTGGATACTTGGGATATCTACAAATTCACAAAGGAAATTAAAATAAATCACAGTAAATTAATAATTTAAATTGACCAAACAGCATTCTTGTATACTACTTTGGTAAGGAATTAACTAATAGTAGCCAAGGTAAAGCTACATCCGGAATCTATAAGTAACTTATTAAAGTTATTGCCGGCACAATTAAGATAATTTGCATATTATGTCGAATTTTTCAAAAACTAATGGACATATTTTAATGAAATTCTGTATGAATATACATTTATAACAAAGAAAGAGATGTACTATTTAAAAATCATTTTATATTAGCACGATTATCAATAAAACTCATATTGCAGGTATATATCCAAAATCCATGTTATGACATCGAAGTAAAAAAGTCTAATACTGGTCCATTCTCCTGTCTGCATCAAATAGGTTGCGTAATGTGACAGTATGCTGGACAGGAGGCAGTTGAGGAGTTCCTATGTAAGTTGAGCCCACTTCTGCATCAAGGCAGTTTTCAACTCCGAGATGGTTCTCAGAGTATAATAGAGATATGAAATTGCCCTACCAAGAGCTTCCCAAACATATTCTATAAGGTTAAGGTCAGGACATCTGGCTGGCCAAACTATTAAGCTAATATTCTCACTTTGCAGGTAATCGTCGACCAGGTGAGCAATATGTGGACGAGTGCTGCCGTTCATTAACAGGAACCGGGGACCAACTGAAGCTTTGAAAAGTCGAACATAGGGTTCTAAGATATTTCTTTCCTTCTGTAACTAATAGCAGTCAAGGATCTTTTCTCAAATACATGCCTGTGTGTGCGACCATCCAACATAATTGCCTTTACATTTCAACAGCCGTAATGATCATTTTCCATGATGAGGGAGGGATGGTATCGTATTACGGGCTCTCTCCAGACACATGTACGCCGAGAATCAGTGTCCAAGCTGAATCTCCACTCACCTGTAAAACACACGGTGTTCCTGTTAAGTCTGGTCCAAGGCCTATGTTGTTTGCACCAAGCTAAACACGTCTTATGAAGTCTTCTGGCAGCTGTAGACTGTGAAACGCAAGTTCCTGTGGCAGCAAACAGCTGATGTGAGAGGTGTAAAGCTGTAACACACCCGTGTCGCCGTGCAGAAAGTCCCAAATAATGATTCCCATTCATCATCGTGGATCTTGGTCGATCTCCTTCATGTATTCTCTTCATGGATCCAATGTCTTGGAACCGTTTCAACAAATTTCAGATGGCACCGCACGTTTCATTGAACTATGTAACCGTCTACGCTTGTGATTGGCCTGCTTCCAATCTACCGACCGTTCTTCATATCATTAAGTCATCCCTACGTTTGCAGCTACTCATTTTACCTGATAGTCTACAAAATTTACCCAACTTGCGAGAAACACGGCGAATGTCGTGTTTCTCGCAGATACGAACCTCTAGGCTCACATATTCGAGTCTTAATATTTGCATAATTCTTCCGCAGCATAATTAGCACCTCTGATTCAATACTTTTCGTAAAAATAGTGATAATTTGCAAATTCTCTTAATTTTCCACACGAGTATATTTAATGTATAATACAACTTAAATAGCAATAAAATCAAAATATTATTATTGTAGTGAGAGTAAAGAAACGCAATATAATCTGATCCTTGGAAACAAATATACAAGAGATAACACACTAAATTAATTTGTTCCTTCACGCTTGAATTGTACTAATCTGTCTATAGCTGTACTAATCTCACTACAGCTGCACTAATATGACTACAGGTTAGGTTGTTTGTACATGGCAAAGCACACGAGGGCTTACCTGCCTAAGAAAAGGAACGCTTTCATAACCAACTCGCAGCCAGCCCGTTTGCCTGGGCTTAAATTCAGAACGAATTACTAGTATTCAGCAGTCTTTAATCTCTTGATCACTAGTGGAACCTAATCTGACTTTAAAATCGCTTGATTTACCTTAGAATTCGCCCTATACCACTCGAAATCTTCACTCAAATTTAATCAGTGACTGCCTTTTTGTGGCAAATCAGAGTTAATTCCGTATAAAATGTTGTGGATTTTAGGTACAAAAACTAATAAGTGCAAAATTTGGTATTAAAAAAATAGGTACAAAACTTAGCCCAGTTACAGATTTAGAAGTACTGTTCTGAACTATGAAAGTGTAAAATGGAGACTTGAAAAATTTTCTTGCAATTAACTAATGCACTGGACAGAAAAGAATGTTTCCAGAGAAACACAAGGACAAATATGGTTAAACGTTCTTAGTAACTAATTTTCCTTTTCTTGTCAATGCCAATCAGAGTAATTCTAGATGAATAATTAGTACCACTGAATCAAGCTTGTCCAAGGCTTATGATGAACCAGTATTTCATTACATTTTTATATATTTATAAAAACAGGACAAAACTAAGATTTTTTTCTGTACGTTGTGTATGGCAATAAAACGGCAATGCTTTGCTTAGAATTGGATTCATGCCTAACCTAGTCCTTCAAAATTTTATGTCTGTTAAGAAAATGAGGAGCAAACACGAAAACTTGCAATTTGTACTTGCGACATAAGGTAGCAACGGCGATACATAAAATTAATAAATGTTTATTTAACAAATTTTTTGATTAAATAATAGAGCATATAATGGATTTTATTTAAACAGGAACTAATTTAAATAAACAGCTTTAGATTTGGTTAGGTTAGGTTATTTGATTATGGCAAAGTTCTCGCTATCTGCTTAACAGAAGAGATGCATTCGTGGAGTTATAACACTCCTAACATAATTCGTGGAGTTATAACACTCCTAAGGGAAGCTGGTTAGTAGTCACATTACAGGGAAAGCAACAGTAATCAAGAAGGCAGCTAATCTGTTCGCCTGATACAGAACCTAGGTCCAACGACCACTGTTCAGAGATTTTAAACACTCGCTCATTCGTGAAGCCATAAACAGCTTTAACAAGAGAAATGTTTATTAACAGTTCATTATTATGAGGTGAGATATCCGTATTCATGCAGAATGCGATCTATCGCTTTTAGTTAGTTATTTCATACATGGCATCACTGAAATGCTCTTTTTAAATATGGAAATAAATACGAATAGTTAAATGGAATTTAATCTGTTAAATGGAATCTGTTAATTTAATAATCCATTGATTTTCTTATATTATTGAAAATACAATTTGCAATTAATGCAACAATGTAAATTAAAAATAAAAAACTGATACATTAAACATAACACATAATATACGATACATTACTGTTGTTGCTCTCCTGCACACAGCGATTTATTTTCGCTTAAGAAAACGTTAGAGAATTGCCCATATTCGCCATTATGAACTTTAAACATTACATATATTATATGCGTTATTTTTTTCTTCCCATAAACACAAAGATTTCTGTTTTCACTTAAAACACATTAGTTAACTGCAATTATTCGACATCATGCACAGTCTCGGCACTGCGCACATTAAATATTATGTATATTATATGATCTATTACTGTTGTTTTCCCATGTACACAACGATCTGTTTTCACTTAAAAAATTAATCACAAACTCGACATCGCGCACAATACCGTCATTGTGCACATTAAACAGTATGTAGATTATATAATAAATTACTGTTGCTCTACTACTTCACAATCCCATTAATTCCGAATATGTATATATATACATATATAGAGAGAGGGACTTCCAAAATAAAATCAAAACGAAACAACAAAAAAGCCATTATATAACACGGAAATTGCCAAATTTGTCATGTTCCTTGTTCTTTACTTTATCCAATTTAAATATCAAACAGTTTCATAATTCAGTAACACTGGCAGATCAGAATTTAGTAACAATAGTTTCAAAAAATAAAAATTCGATAGCTTTCATTATTCGAACTGTGATAAAATGGCAGCAAAAAGAAATGGCAAATACATAAATGCAGTAAATCGCATACTATATGATTACCGAAATATCTTGTAAAGTAAATTTTAAAACAAACGTTTATGTATTTGAACATTTATGCGAAGGTTTGTTTAAAAAAAAATTGTTTTCATAATTTAAAAAATGTGCCCAATTCTCCCTCCTTTGGAGCACAAGGGGAAAAACGGGTAAAATAAATATGAATATAGAAAAGCAGAAAAAATATATGTAAATATACTTGGCACTTGAAGGAAAGCATCCATATGACTATTGGTGAGTAAAGGTTCCGGTAGATGTCGCACCAGTTGCTTCAGAAGGATGCTAACGTCGTGCACCGATGACTGCCGAATCAGATTTTCGACTAAATTCGGTGAAGTGACGTAACTCCTTTCAATTTCGGCTTTTAAGACCTGAAAGTATGTTAAAAGCTTTGCATAAACGTCCAAGAGCAAAAATAGTTTCAGACAGATGCATTTGTATGAAGGACGGCTTTCTCTTTTCTCTGAAGTTTGAGTTAAGGTTTGGAGTAGCGTTTTAAATAGAATTTTAGAGAACTTTTAGAACTATACCTTTGTTACATCTAAGAAATCAAAAGCATAAACATACACAGAGGAAAAAAGTATTATTTCAAATTCTGAAAGAAATATATTAAGTAAAATCTTTGCTGAATCAAAGGACTTTTGAAAATGTATTCAGTTGAATTGATGGAGGAAGTTATTTCCACCACAATTATGCGTTTTTAATTCCTGATATCTACAGAGTGATTTCAAATGATTGGCTCAGTTTTAATAATGTCATTTCGAAAATTTACCAAAAGGAAAAAAAATGCATAAAATGAAAGCGAAACTGTCCAAGCTTTTACTTTCATGTGTTTTATATAATTTCCTTTAATTATATGAACAATGGAAAGACTATAATAATATAGTAAATTCCAGAAGAATGATATGATTTTCAAATAAAAACAATTTCGCATCACTTTCTACTTGTACTTACTATTTATACTCACGAAAGTCACAGTCAGTTAATACACTAAGCAACTCAATACCCTTTTGTACAATGCAATTATTTCCTCATAGTGCAACTGTTCTATTCTGAAACCTCACGATTATTTTAACTTGATTATTTCGTAATGATAAAGCATGTGAAATGCATCTTTTAAGGAAAAAGGTGAAATGTTTTCTAAGGAGAATTGATTCATGTTCTTGTTGCAAGAGAGGAAAGATTTGAGATTTGATGAGGCCCATTTGGTCTCCCGCCGTCGAGGAGCAAACCCAAGACAAATTGCTAGTGTTATTCACTGTTCATAGCTACTTAGTTATTTTAGGACCTCATGAAAAAGGGTTCTAAATAGTAAATCTGCAATCCTTCTTGCCACCCTTTTATATGTTATTAAGTTTGCTAATACCTTTTAGATTAAACTGCATGCGTGAAAAGAAATTAAACGTAAAAGTGCGAAAATTAACTTCTTTGGATGCATTTAAGATATGGAAATATACAAGACTTTTTTGCCTTCTGCATGCATACATTTCATTACTATTATTACTAATGGCTTATTAATAAATCTTTTCACATAAATCACTACAAATACATTAAGACAACAATAATTTTATTAATTTAATTTATGAGGCGATTACGCGATTATTTAATTCAATTACGCGAGGAAATATTTCCTCGCGTATTTTCCTCCCCAAGCATTTTAGCGCAAGGTTCTGAACATATTTAAAAAATTCGCTTAATTCCCCATTGCATATTTTCTCCCTTAGTTTTTAATGTCAGGTTCGGAAAATATTACAAATATTCGTATAATTTCCTCATTCCTCAGTGCGTTTAGAGTATGAGCTCTCCTAAATTCCAAACTGGATTAGCTTCCGTAATGATTGCTTTCGTGTTACTAAGAAACACTAACACTTGCAAACTAACTCACGCCGAAACTTTTCCTTCTAACTGTTGAACTTTATGCCAGCTTAATACAAGAACTGACCCATCACAAATTGTCATTCACTCTATGATTTCACCTAGTCATTTTTTCTAACTATGCACAGTCATTTTTTCTAATTCTTTATGGGTGATTTGAGGCCAAAGGAGTAGCGGAGACAACAATAAAAACTTACGAGACGCCAGTAACACGGAAATAGAAATGAAAATTTCTTATCAGATATTGTAATGCTAATATTATTATGTATTCGTAGTGAAATGTACCATTTTTGTTTTTTTCAAAAAATAGTAATTTGATAGTTACCGGTAGTTTATCCATGACTACTTTTCATTTGTTATGTTGTTACAGTAGTTTCATTTATTATGTTCTTACAGTTCGGAAATTAAGTTATTCGCATAATTTTCCCTCTCGATTTCGGATGTTAAATTAGTCAAACAAACAGGAGAAAAATATGCAAGGAAATACGGTAATCAATACCAATTTTTAAAGCAAATCTGAAGAGTGTTCACTAATTGGCGAATTATTAGACGCGAAGATATTAGACTGATTCCAATATGAGCTGATTGGACTCTTCAAGCACACAATGATACAAAAGTACTATGTGATGAAGGTGAAAGCCAACTTCTACCGTAACCAAGAGAAGATACTTCTTACCACAATCCGATTTTTTGCATTCTGTAGTTCTTTACTATTCAAAACCTTACTCTAACTGAATATTGCTTTTGAAGAATACAGGTCCTTAAAAAGTCTAAAGCGCATTTAAGGATTTAATATGAAAAATTAAATTAGAATAAAACAGGTAAAATACAATAACACAAGAACCTATTAAAGATTAAAAAGAAATGAATTAAACATAGGAAAACGAACACCAATTTAAAAAGTAATATTTAGCAATCAAAACATTTCAGTAAAAATATCTTTACAAAATCCAAAAGTTTTGGGGCATTTTGCGCTTGATAATATGTTCAGTTCAGAAAATTTTAACACAAGAATTAATCAGTACGTAATATTAAAACCAAGTTCACAAGCGTGATAGCCCGCTTCCTCTAGATAGCTGCCTGAGTGGGTAATTAAATTTATCCATTACTTCAGTTTTAATATCTATGGCAACGCGCCAATTCTTCTTTAACGCTGGCAAAACAAATTTTATATTTGCTTTTAAGGAAAAAATTGCAGAGGCTATTATTTTAAATTAATGGAACAGTAATATAATTTTAACGCTAATCATACTGCATGTTTTCTTTCTTAATTCCAGAACAAATTTATGTCGACTTTTTTCTTTAATATTTTATTATTATTCGTATTTTACTGACAACAGAAATATAACATCTTCCCATTTTTGCAAGTGGTTGCGTTACGTTACTTTATACTACCAGGGTATTTTTCTGCCATGTGGCATAGCAAATGCTATCATTCCAAAAGATATGCCTTTATCCTCTAAAGGTTGGCTCTTTAAGATTCTGGCAGGAATGTTAATAAATGACCATTTATTTCATGCTAAGGTAACACTTCTCAAACCATATTGTACTTTTAACTCTTCAAATATGTTATGGTATGTTACCCTGCCTGCGAACATCCTACCTTGATTAGAGCTACAATAGTGCTGTACATATTAATTTACCTTCTCCTCAAAATAATTGTTTTTTAACCAGGAACTAAAGGGTCCGTCAGAAAAAAATTATACGCACTTTAATAGATTGCATTTGCGTATTTTTTTCGAACTTGAATTAGCTTTATGATATCCTCAACTGTACTCTCATGTACTGTTTAAATACTCTCATGACTGTAAACTCAATATCACATTTACAAGATTCCCTTAATAGCGCATCGAAAGAAACATTTCCCAGCGTTTTTGTTTTCGGGATATCTGATAGGTTCACTTATGCGAAAACTAGCTCTTTGGAGAAATTGTAACAGAGACAAACCTTCGAGCGAAATATTTTCACTTCAGTTTCAAAAAGTCCCGCTAGCTAGCCGGGACGCCGCTTCTAACGAAGTATGCTTCAGCTATAAGCCCTCGAACGGTAAGAGAAGACATAGTTTCTCAGAAAATTTTTTCTAGCCTCACCCTTGTTTAGATACGATAAGCCCATAATATGTGGCATATGACGTATGATAGTGACTCAGAATGGCTTGGGGGATTTTGAAGGACATCCTGTAGTGCATGAAAGGGTTATGCTTGAGATCCTTCGTCAAGAAATTGCAGCGGCATGTGCCTCAATCCCCGCGGACACATTGATGACGCTATCCAAGCAACCCTCGTCGTTGCGCTACATGTCTAGCTGTTAAAGGCCATCTCTCTGATATTTTGAGAACTTTGAATAACTTTACAAATCCACGAAAACTGTATTACGCCCAACGTAACCTATGATATATAAGATTATATTAACTTATAATAGAATTCAGTAATAACACATAAAAAAGACTTTTCTGTCGTTGAAGTACGTATACACTTTTCCTACAGACCCAGTATATATTTCCATCCACATTTCCTAGAAAGTAAATATTTTCCTATGAATAAGGCCATTTCGCTAATATAAGCTTGAAGTGGTGTGGCAGTCTAATCAACAACGTATTGCTAGATCTTGTGAATGATTAATGCACGTTAGCGTAACTTAAGGCAATGATCTAAAAATTTTGGAACGAATATGTTAAAGTCAGAAATGTTCACGCGACTCGAAAAATACATTTCTTGAACTTTAGTAAAGATAATCCATTATTTCCTTACTGTACGGAATAAAGTTTCAGTACTGGTTTTAAGATACTAGTTTCATTCTAATTTGTAAGTCCGTCTTACTGCATTATTACATCAACTTTTTAAAGGTTTCGACTTACAATTTTTACAAACTTAATACCTTACATTATCAGATTTTGATTAAATAAGTTGATTTTGTTCTTAGCACTATTATTATGAGATACAAGCGCTATTTACAACTCATTTACCTTGATAGTTTTTCACTACTTATTGATAAAATAATGCATCCCTTAAAAACCTCTAAAAGCATTGAACCTCCAACATTAAAAATCACTAAGCCATTAGCCAAACACTTTAAAGTTCTAAATTTAACTAGCTCTTGAAACTTACGGGAAGGGAAGAAATAATGGAGAATTATATAACGGTTAACATAAAAGTTCGCAGGAGAAAAATTAAAACAGAGTGGAGGGGAACCACCTGCAGTCCATATTCTAAGAATCAATACTGCCAAAGGAAAGTAGCAAAAATTCGATTGTTTACTTTAAAAAGAACATTTTTACGAAACATATCGTAAAAACCGGCGAGCATCCGGTTATCCCGATCAAAAGCCCAACGGCTGGAAAATAATCATACATACCTGAACTTTTTGCACCGATCCGGCCAGCCGCATCAAGCCTTCTTCTCGCAGTCCGTTGCTATGGAGATGGTGAAGTATCTACAAAAATTTATCGAAGAGAATCATGTTAGGAAAAAGTGGCAGCAAGGAGATAGAAGATTCCGTACGTCAATTACATTGAGATATTTCAGTGTAGAGAGTTTAGTTGTTGTAAGAAGTAAAGCGAAACATCTGCTCTTTAAAAAAGGGCAAAATTCAATTAGGATATTTTGAGAAAAAGGGCAGAGATTTACTGTAAGTAGAAACATGTCTAGGAAGAACAAAGTTTAATTGCATCACGAAGTGACCGTCTTGGAAAATACGGAGCCGTAATCTACAAGGTTAAAAAAAGCCTAAAACCGTACATTAAATTTTAGCTTCTTTATTTCTTGTTAAGATTCTATTTAACCTATTAGTCGTATCAAAATATAAGAACAGTAATGGGTACAACAGAAGCCCGCCATGTTTACCTCTTTCTAATCTGGATTGATCGGCAGTGTGGAGATTTACGCATAAGATGAACCACGGGTACCTGACGATTTTAAGAATGGAAACCAACACCATAAAATATAAATTCAATTATTAATTTATTTTATTAAATGACTGAAATACAGTTGAAATTGTCATAATAGTGCTAATGCATCCATCAGCTTTTTATTTTTTATACAACACAATTTCAGATGTTCTGTCTGGTATCTAACGGCTTTTGCAACAAGACAGATTAGCAAGTCCTCGGAGTGTTCAAAACACTATAGTTGCAGCAAGCTGGGACCACATGCTTGCAATTTGAGACATGCTGCCAAAGAATCCATAACTGTGTTTCATCAGATGTTTGCCGAGTCGACATGCTGTCCAGACATGGTTTTCGGAGGGCTGTTTGAAGTGTCACGCATACTTTAATAAGTTGGGAACGTAGATAAAGTCAGGGTAAAATTACGTGCAAAAAGACAGCAATATCGATTACTGTGATGCCAGTGATGGATGCAAAACCTGCGTATTAATCTAGAGAGGTATTGTACAAGTAAAGAAGAGAAAATGAAAAATATGATGTTAAAATATAAGAGACTGAAGAAATAATTTGTATTGTTATAATAAATACCGTTTATGTCCTGTTCTGTTTCTATGATTTACTTCTTAAAAATTTATAAAAGAATATTATTAAAAAATATAAATAATGAAAGCAAGATTATTGAAGTGCTGCTTATTTATATGAAATTTAATTTCAGCTCATGCTGAAAAATTAATAGTAGAGCTAGTACTCTGAATTTGTACAGTTTAATTTGAACAGTTATTACAGTACCTGAAGATCATGTAATAAAATTAGAAGTAAACGTAGAAATAGAGAATATTGTAGTTTGCTATTTATAACAATTTCGTTTAACATATGTTTTCAGATTAAATTATTTTATGTCATTACTCTTAATTGTTAAGTTGTAGAGTCATTAGGTTAATTGGAAGCAGAAAAGATGAAAAATATGCAATCGCCGTCGCCGGGAGTCGAACCACGGACCTCTGGAATACCGGCCCAGCGTGCAGAACCACTACACCCGAAGGCACGTTAGGGAAGTGGGAGAAATACTTTATATACTTCCCTTTTTAAAGGGCGACTATGGTTTTAGGGGACCTAGTCGCCAAATCCTGGGTGCGGAGAATCATCATCCACAAACCCTTTTTGTTCGGGCGCCACTTGTAGAGTCATTAGGTTAATAGGAAGCAGAAAAGATGAAAAATATGCAACCGCATTCGCCGGGAATCGAACCACGGACCTCTGGAATACCGGCCCAGCGTGCAGAACCATTACACCACGAAAGCACGCTAGGGAAGTGGGAGAAATACCTTATAAAGTGTCTTTCATAAAAGCTCAGATAAGCGGGGATTTTTATATATATCAAGGTTAGGTCTAAAGCAGTCTTAACCTCTATGTTGCATTTATTTTCATCATTATTAAAATGTACACCGTGGATAAGAGTACAACAGGAGGAAGGGGAATCCAGACCTGACAAGTTCAAAGCTGCCGTTACACAGTTAAACACTCCAACCCCTAGATGCGATCCGAGGAGGCATAATCCCAGTCAACCCAGAAAAACACTTTTCTGCTTCACAAAGTCTGGGTAATTTCACATAAAATGGGTGGTGGACGTTTATACATCTACTGAAAAATCAAAGAACGCATATTAGAGATTGAACGTCCCCCAGTTTTGACTAAGAGGAGCCAAACTCCGAAGCACAATCTTCGCTATCTGATTATGTAGCGTCTCCACAAAGACAGACAAGACAGTATATATAGCTTCTTCCGAGCCTGAACCTATCACCGAATGAACGATAGTTCCAGTCACTGTGAATTCTCTCCTAGAAGTCAAGTCTGTATACGTACTGACCTAGCCAAAACGCCGGGATTACTCCTAGTCGAGCCCCGGGGGAAGGCTGTGGATAATAGGAATCTGATGACTTTTAAGACTGATGGAAACAACACTGTAATGCAAAGCAATTGGATGTTAATATAATGCGGCTGTTCCCCTCTTCATTCCCTTTTTTTAACAGCACATTTATCAAAAGTTTTTCCTAGAACTTTCTGATTTTTTCAGTAATATCGGTTGACAATATCACAAATCTTGAGTGGCTGTAGTTGCTGAAAGATGAGCCAGCATCACATACTGCCAGAAAATACATGACCATGCTTCAGCGGCAGCTTTTCTGTTGTGTAAATTTCTGAAGGTAAAGACAATCTACAGTGAAAATATTCTCTATACTTGCCAATACACAACTCTTATCCATGGGGATTTATAGCGCGTCAAATACACATTAATAAATTTAGGAAAATTAGAGAACACAGAAAAATATTTCAGTAAAATGCAGCAGCTGTACTAATCAACATAATTAAAAGAGCGATGTAGAACTTACGGGAAAGATATAGAACTAAAGGAGTGTTGCATCAAAATCGAAGAACATTTGGAACAAGTGTTGCTGATAAAAGAAGAAACTGATGCGATGAAGAGCAGTGTCATAAGAAATAGTTTTGCATGTGCTATTGTTTTATAAAAGAAATAAACTTTTGGTAAATATTTTATAATGTTGAATTCAATCTCAAAATCTTTAAATTCCTATGGTTTCTCTGTTTTCAAAAACTAAGAAAATGGCGCAATTGCTATCCGTAAAGTAAAAGACAAATTTACATTTACTAATACATTAGAAGAGAATGATGATGAATTCGACTTCAGTGTAACTGTTCTGATGACAGATAAAATGCAAGGAGGTAAGAGTGAAAAATCATACACTAGGAAACTAATCAGAGTCTAAAGGGCAATGATTAGACAAAATTCCACTTTACATTTCCTGTCTGAATTTGTTTCTTGATGGTAAGAGCCACGTACTAAACTCGTCTCTTATGATGCATTGATTTATTCGTACAGAATCAAGCCCGCCTGTAGGCTAAAATTTGCTTCATTTTAAACGGGCAAGGTCATATGAATAAAAATACACCCTAAGTATTTGTTATCACTTATTAGTTTACTCTCTGAAATCGAAAAAGTTTTATATATTATAGTTTAAAACGAACAGAAGTTAATTTTTTAATAATTTAATTAATTATTGTTTAATTAAGTCAGCATCAGCTGACGGCACAGAATAACTGTGTGAAGTATTTCATAACTTCTTCGTTTCTTTTACTAAATATGCCACACATCAGTAAATTCATAACATAAATACTTTATAAATATGTCACATCAGTAAATTTATAACAGAAAAAAAAGTCTATTCCTTTTCTAATATCGAAATTTAGATGAGAAAATGTATTCACTGCTACATTAAATAACACCCATTAATAAACAAAAGCAATAACTGAATCAACACATTGGATGACTGCTATATCACCAGTGGTCCTTAGTATAAATTGATTAAAAATTGATCACTTTACTTTGAAAATTTTTAGGTATTCCACGAAACCTTTAACAAATAGAGTTTTAAATTATTCAACACTTACAAAAGGGGAAAAAATTTTTAGCTGAAGTTATGTTCCTAATTGCACCATTGTTTCAAGTACAACTGAACTTCGCTTATTTAGAACATGCATACACATTAATGCTATAGCAAACCAAATTAGTACATAGCAGACAAGTATTAAGACAAATAAGTAATAATTAAATTAAGCCAGTAAACATGTATGTTTTGGCAATTTTCTTGCAACAGCTTAAATCTCTAGATTCAGCTCTTCCTGTTGTCAGCTTCGTCGAGGGAAAAGGTGACTAAGTGAAAACTCACTTAGACTATGAATTGCGTAAATATCTCGGGAATACAAAGCAGACAGCCGAAAGATACGTGTCTAACAATGAGTTCAGTTCGTCAAGAGCCCTTCAACAAGAGACTGCATGTTACTTTTTAAAGACAAGTCCCATCGGCTAATAAGACTTTTAACCAACTTTTCGTGAGAGTTGCCTTTAACAAACGAGAATATATATTTGTTAAATTGACTGAAAGAACAAGTTATTGGTCCCTAGGTTAGTTTCAGAACTTCACCCGTGAATAATTTGTTGAACGCTGCACTAGATAAATGCAACTAAAAATTATCGACTAACTCAGTCGTCTCAAGCTCAAACTGCATGCGGCCGAGTTCGCGATTTGAAAGCAACAGACGAGACAGAATATTTTTTAACGAAATTTAAAAACATTTTTGACAAAAGAACAAAAATGTTTTAACTAAATTGAATATATATCAAAACATACATACGCAATCATTATAACATAACGGAAAAAATTCAGATTTATATTTAGTTTCTATCTGAAATTTAAAAGATGGTACTAAAAGTAGAAATAAAAATAATAGCAGTCTTCAAGACCGATTTTTGAGAAGCGCATTCTGGAATCACATTATGGGCTGGTAAAAGACAAATAAGCAGTAACATGTTTTTAGGAGGCAAAGAAAATCAGGAATGCGTCATGTGTAAGAAGAGAGTTTTGTGCAGAAGTTTCAGTTCAGACTTGTGCCCGTTGGTTAATAAGTTTCGTCTCCCAATTTTTTTGAGATCGATACTGGCTGAAGCAATAAGCATCTGCATTATGAGTAT